CCTCTTACTGACCCCCCCACCACTGGCCTGGTTGCCCCCAACTGCCTCCCTCTGCTGGCCTGGTCGCCCCCAACTGCCCCCCCTGCTGGCCTGGTCGCCCCATGCAGCCTGCTGTTCAGTCGTTTGGTCATCCCTCACTAACCCCCTGCCAGCCTGGTTGCCCCACACAGCCTGCTGTTCAGTAGTTTGGTCATCCCTCACTAACCTCCCTGCCGGCCTGGTCATAAGCAGCCATCTTGTGAAGGTGTTAGGGTTAATTTGCATATTACCTCTTTATTATATAGTATTAACACTTCACAACAGCCCTGCCAAAGTTGTATTACTATCCCCAATTTACCAATGAGAAAACTGAATCCCAGAGAGATTAATAAACTGAAGATCAATGATTTAAAGCCAAGTCTGGTTATCTGACTACAATTGCTTGTTCTCTCTACAACTCTTCATCACTTCCTTCACCAAAATGCTGGCTTTTATCCCATCAATGAAGGAGAACAGTCTCAGGTGAAGCATTTAGCCTAACCAGTTGTGGATTGTGGGATAAAAAAGTAGATTTTGTGGGGAAAGTGAAAGTTCAGGTGTACCACCTTCTCCACCTCTTCACTTCCAGGCTAGCCTTACAGGTGGACCAAGTAGTGAGTAGCCAATGTAGTGGGATGTGAGAGACCCTGAAAAGGCCTACTTTTCTTCAAAATATCTTTCCAATGCCCTCCTTATCTCCACTGTTCCTAAAGGTGCCCTTGGGGTTCTTGTGTCCTCTTAATATGGGAATATACCCAGGAGAAGAAAAATTAAACTGAATTACTGACATGTAATCATTCAACAAATATTTATTAAGCACCATTTATTAAACAAATGAGATGATATAATAACAACTACTTATATTTGCTTAGATCTCTAGATTTTCAGAGATTGCCACAATCTGAAATATACTTAAAACTGACATTATGATCCTCATTTTACAGATGATCAAATTGTGGTTCAGAGAGTCTGAGCGACTCAATCAAGTCACACACTTGAGTCCCACTTTATAACCAGGGCTCAAACTTGGGTCTTCTGACTTTCAGTCCTATGCTCTTTCCTTTCTAGCACAGTAACTCAAGGTGTTTACAGGTGGGAACCCAAACAGACATACATCAAGAGTTAAATAACAATTCAAGATAATAGTATAAATAACTAGAGACCCAGTGCACTGGGGGGGGGGGTCCCCTCAGCCCAGCCTGTGCCCTTTCACAGCCTGGGAGCCCTCGGGGGATGTCCGACTGCTGTGGAGGTGGGAGAGGCTCCCGCCATCACCACTGCACTCGCCAGCCATCAGCCTGGCTTCTGGCTGAGCAACATTTCCCCTGTAGGAGCACACTGACCACCAGGAGGCAGCTCCTGCGTTGAGCATCTACCCCCTGGTGGTCAGTGCATGTCATAGCGACCATTCATTCCGCCGTTTGGTCAATTTGCATATTACCCTTTTATAGGATAGCAAAAGACAATAAAAGTGACAAATGACTCATAGACAATAATAACCATAGGAGTGACCAGAAAGTACACTGGGTGAGATTCTGCAGAGAAGGTCTCAAAGAGGAAGTGGCCTTGGTAACGAAGTAGGAAAAAGACAGTGGGAGAAGAAAGGGAAGGCATTCTAGTGTGGTGCAAAGGAAAAATAAAGGTGCAGAGGTAGGAAAGTGCAAGTCTTATTTGGAGAAAGAATGAGGAGATCAAATGAGTGGAAGAAGATAGATTTGTATTGGGGAAGAATAGAAAATGAGACTGAAAAAGCCCTCTTGAATTTCTGACTAAAGAATTTAAATTTGTCTTGTAGACATGGGGATACCATGAAAGAGTATTGAGTAATAGCGTGAAAGCAGTGTTTGGGCCAATTCATCTGGCAGTACGCATTGTATAGAATGCAATCTTGTGAGGAGAGACTGGAGATAAGGAAGACCAATTAGGAGGCTGAGACAGTCAGTCAAAGATAAAGTGGCAAGAGCCAGTATTAGAATGGTAGCACTGGGATCATAAAATTGTAATTGACATGATGAAGAAAGAAATGCCAGAATCTCATGGAACAGGGAGGGAGAAGAGATGAAGTTGCCTGAGAGTTTTCAAGCTTATGGAAGGACCTCTGGGAATCAGGAGACCTGAAACTTAGTACCTGCTCTGTCACTAATTTGATAAGTCACTGGCAAGTCATATCTCCGGGCCTGTTTTGTCCTCTGTAAAGTGAGGGAGTGCCCAGGCCCTGGAAGATTTCTTGAGGTACTCAAGGACTATAAGTCAACTAAGTTATACTCATGTGCATATATGTTCTCTCCAAAAGAAAATCAAGGATCGGATGGGGGACGGGGTTAAATAATCCCCAAATGCTATAACTATGACTGAACGTGGAATTCTGTTCACTTTAGGGAGTAAAGGATAAAGAGAATCCAGCAAAGAGAGAGGAAGTAATAAGAGAGATAAAAGTAGAAGTAAATAAATTTTAAATCAGGGGGATAAAATAAGAAACTAAAATTAAAAGTACTACAATAAATGGAAGAAATATATATATCAAATATGACAAAGGGTTAATATGTATGTTAAAGAATATATTTAGATACATAAGAATACCACTGAAATGCCAGTTGAAGAAGGATATGAACAAATAGTTAACACAAGAGGAAATGCAAATGTAAACATATGGGGAAGTGTTCAATCGCATGAGTAGCCAGAGCAGTGGAATTAACAAATTAATGTTTAAATCACTCCAAAATATTTATCAAGTCCAATGCTAGAGCTGTAAGGTAACTGGAAAAACTCATGTGTCATTGTGGTGTTGCAGATTTGTGTAGTCCTTTTGAAAATCAAGATCCATAAAAACGTTCATGTTCTTGGATATGGCAGTCCCACTCCTGGGAACTTGTCCTAGGAACAGAATTACAAAGAAGAAACAAGTCGTATGCATTAAGATATTCAAAGCACAGAAAAATTGGGAGTCACCTAAATGTCCAATAACAGGGGAATAGTCTAACAAAGTATAATCTACTGATAGATGTAATTTTATACAGTCTTTGAAAATGATAAACAGGAAAGACTGTAGCACAAAGAGACTATTTACAATAAAATATTTTTGCAGAATTTCAAAAAATATGTACACTATGATTATACTTATATAAAATATGTATGTATTATACAAACTGAAAAAGCATAGAACATGAAAAAATGAAAGCAGTTGTCGAGGGCTTGAAAATATAGGTGATTTTCTTTCAAAATTTCCTTAATGTTGTCATAGTGAAATTTTTTAGTGCTGTTTTTATACAGGAAGAGATTAACCAAAGAACTTACATGCATATGTGCATAACCCATGGATACAGACAATAGTGCAGTGAAGGCCTGGGGTGGGGGGCGTGTGGGAGTGAGGTAGAGGGAATCAATAGGGGGAAAAGGGGACATCTGTAATACTTTCAGCAATGAAGATAAATTTTAAAAATAAAATACACAAAAAAATTTTAAAGGGAATATGCAACAAGGACATCCTAGAGGAGTCAAAGACAATAAAGGTAGAGCAAAAAATCATTAAAGGTCTTGCTTATGAGGTAATTTGTGTTCTAGATACAAAAAAAGTGTAGAAAGGAAACCAAATTAGGAGAATTAAGGGGTGACTTTGTGGTGAGGAAACAATTTTTATGGTACTCGTTCTAGAAATGACAGTGAAATGAATAAGATGAATAGAATGATAGCTAGAAGAGACAGCAGGTTAAGATATCAGTGGTAAAGTAATGCTTTATTTTCATTTGGTTGGCTTGTGTGTGTGTGTGTGTGTGTGTGTGTGTGTGTGTGTGTGTGTGTGTGTGTTTTAAGACAGAACAAAATTAGTTACGGAAGAGATTGAAAATGATGACGACAGATGCACAAAATAACAAAATAAGAGGCCACCTCTTATTCTGGGACTGCAGGGAAGAAAGGGAGAAAGATGGGATGGATATAGAAGTAAAGTTATCCTAAATGAAGCAGAAAGAAGTTGAGGTATTAGATTTCCTCAGTTCTAGGAAGCATCAAGAAACAGGACCAATGGCCCAGGAGGCAAGGTAAATCTTAACAGATCATAGGGTAGGATGAAATTGGTGTCTTGAAAAAGTGTAAAAGATAGGAAATAGTCCCTCTGGAATGTTCATTAGGATCTCAGCAGACTAAGAGGGATGGAGGTTTAAATGAAATTCCAAGACATCCTTGTGTTCTGGTTTCATCTGCAGTCTCCTATAATCTAGGAGAGAGGAAAAGATTGGCCCACAGTGAAAAGTAAGGTATTTAACTAAAGTTGGAATGAGAGGAAAGGCAGTCCTAAAGTAGCAGACCACAAAGTCTGGGGGAGTTAGTCTCGATTAAGCATATGGGAGTTAAATGGACTGGAGAAATGGAGGAGGCTGGGTCTGTTGTGATGGAGAGAGCCACTTTCCTGGGTCGGGCTTGTGGGTAGGAGAGGTGATAGACAAGGAGGCTGTGGTCATAGGAATAAAAGGAAGCGAGTACAGATGAGGAACAGGTTGTGTAAGAGTTTAGGCAGTGGCTATGAGACTGGGAGACTAGTAAGAAGGCCAGTTCATTTACTCCTAAAAGGGGTCCCGGGTAACAGTCGGGTCCTGGATATCTAGAGAGGAAAAGAGCACACTTAAAAGAATAGAAAGGGAGACTCGGGGGCATTGAAGTCATTTTATTTCTCCAGACCAGTCCCAACTTTACTTTCCAGAGAGAACTAGTAAGACTGAGTAAGCTAATAGATAAGAGATCAGAGGTAGGTCAGCAAGGGTGGGGCAAAAGAAAAAGAAGGCTGAAGACTCAGGAGACCAATGAGCTGGAAGGCCATTTCAGAAGGAGTTGCCTAGAAGTGTGAGCCCACCCTTCTCATGAAGGCCTGCCCAGAAACTCTTACTTCCCAATGCTTGTGAATTAGCTCCCCAAGTTCCATTACCCCCCCCCCCATATCCATGCTTAAGGGCACTAAGATGCAGCTGGGAGAGGGTGGGTGACTGAATGCGAGACTCTGAAGGGAGCTGTCCTGGTCCCAGTGCCCTTCTCTGGCCTCAAAACCATAAATCTTGATCTGAAAGAACTGGTGACTTGTTTATTATTTATCTAGGGCAGGAGCTAGAGAAATGGAAGAGACCAGTGAAGAGCCAGCTCTGACGTCAATCCCTGTCACCACTCCCAAACTCTGCACAAACCTGCTCTGCCCCTTAATGCTGGAACTTACAGCCATAGACATGAAAGCTCCTCCCTCCCTTCTGAGCCATTCCCCTCTTCCTTTCATTAAATACAGAACTGTCAGATATGCCCCAGCAAACTTCATAAAGGAGGTCCTGTCCCATTCCTGTTCCAAAGTCCTTTATCAGATTGGGCCATGCCCTCAAGGCTCTTCAAAATTCCCAGCCCATGGTAAGACTCAGGGTTCCCTCTCTACCTAGCTGCTACACACCAGTTCAACAGTGCCATGCCTCCAGCTGCATGTGGAGACTGTGGCATTCAGGCTGTCTTGGATTGTGCCCTATTTCAGCACCTAAGTAGACCAGACTATCCTGTCCTCACAGGGAAACTGGAAAGTGGCTATGGGAGCTACATATGTCATATCTTTGGCATCTGTGACATACTGGTGCCCCTACCTCCTAATTCTGGCTGTCACCGTCAGATAAATCAAGCCAACCCTGAGATTACGGCAGTTTCTCCACTCTTCCAGTTGAATGCTCTGGTCTGACTGGAGTAACATATGCTATACAAGGATATGGGGGAAAGGAGGGGGAAGGAAGGCTGGGGAAGGGTTCCTAGGATCAAGAAACAGGACCAATGGCCCCAGGAAACTAAGAGGAAGAAGTAGAGGAGAAAGAGTGGCTGCTACTGCCTTTGGCTAAAAAGTAGAGGGCAACTGAAGGATTTATGAGAGTTGGGGTCACACGTGATTTTCCTGGCTCCCCCTAACCCTCAGAGAGAGGGCCTCTCACCAGAGCCCTGGAACTAAGAGGAAGCAACAATATGAGTTGTCACCATTAGGATCCCTCACCTCTGCCCTGCACTCACCCCCTTTTCTCTTCCTTCCAGGCTTCCAGTGCTACAATTTATCTGCCCTAGGGGTAGGGCAGCCACTATCCTGGGGGTGGCTGTCCTCCTGTAGCTGCTGCCCTCAGGTAGGGACACCAATGCCAGGGAGGAGGCAGCCCTGGGAGGCTCGGGGGTGCCACCACTGCAGAGCTTCCAGAGCTGCCTACGATACTTGTCCCCAGTGAGCAAGTAGAGCACAGGATCCAGGCAGCTATTGGCACTGGCCAGAGGCCGGGTCACTTTGTAGACCACGTTGACAATGTTCAGCACCTGGCAATCAGCTTCCAACAGCCTTGCCATGTAATAAATGGTGCGGGTGATGTGGAAAGGCACGAAGCATACAGCAAAGACAGTCAGAACCACTGCAATGGTGCGGAGAGAACGCAGACGAGAAGACGACTGGGAAGACCCTGGCAAAGGCCGATACAGGCGCCGGGCCATGAGCCCATAGCAGACAAGAGTGACCACGCAGGGTATGCCAAAGAGCAGCCCCATGATTACTGAGCTGAAGTGAACATAGTGGTCAAACTCCTCAGGCCGAGTGGTGTCATGGCACAGGATGGTATCCCCCCTGGAGCTGGTTGTGACAAAGAACAGGTTGGGCACAAGGCAGCTGGCTACAACCAACCAAACTGCCAGGCAGAGAAAGCCTGCGAGTCTTGGGCGGCCCCAACGTATTGCTCGCAGGGGGTGGCAGATTCCAAGGTAGCGGTGCACACTGATGCAGGTGAGGAAAAGGACACTGCAGTAGAGGTTCCAGTAGAAGAGGAAGCGGATGAACTTGCAGAGCTCAGTGCCAAAGGGCCAGTGGTTTCGGGCTGCATAATAGTAGATGAGGGTGGGCAGTGACAGCACATACAACGTGTCTGACAAAGCCAAGTGGAACATGTAGGTGGTCGTTGCATCCCAGGGTCGGAGGTGAAAGAGGAAGAGCCAGAGGGTTGGAGCATTGAGGACTAGACCCAGCACAAAGACAACTGTGTAGCTCACAGGCAGCAGGATGAACTTGAACTCTTCATCAAACCAGCAGTCCAGCTCCACCTCACTGTTGCCAGGAGCTGAGTTGGGCCCTAGGGTTGTGAGCAGTGAGGATTCTGCACTGGCCATGGTCCCCCCTAGAGGTGAAAAAGGTAGAAGTGAGGGTACTGGATTTCCCTGTCCCTCCTACCCCCAGCCCTGACCCAGAGGGTAGGGCGGGGAGGCAGAGATGAGGGAGGGCAATGGTTGAAGCATCAGCTGAGCTGAGAGGAGTAAATCTGGGTATAACCCAGGCCACCTGGGCCCCTGCCCAAACTCCCTTGGTCCAGCCAGGGGAGTGGTGAGTAGCAGGCAGTGCTGGGACTCAGGAAGACAGTCAGTTTTTTGGGTTTTTCTCATTCTAGAGCTGACTCTGTCTTCCAGAGCTTGGCTAGCTGAAGGGGGTAGAGGCCTACCATGACTCTCCAATGTGAGAAGATGCCCAACCTCTAATTGCCTCCTAGCTCATTACAGCAGCTGTGTCCCTGTGAAGAGAACATCTCTCCATTAGGGAACTTCACCTATCCTCTCACCCTGCCCCCAGTGTCTTTGTACTACAGTTACTTTTGATGCCTGGTCCAGCCTAGGAACCCCATCACCACTCTTACCCAAGTAACTTGGCAGGTCTCCTACCTGGTCCCCTTGAAGCTGAGCCCAGCTGACTCTGTCACCCTTCCCCTTGGCAGCCAGAGGGCCTATTCCTGGGGGCGGGGTTGGGGTGGGGCCTGTCCCTCCTCCTGTCCTGGGAGACTGTCAGAGCAAGAAAGGCCCATCAAGATTATCTAGTCCAACCCACTCACTGTATAGATTGCAAAAGAGGCCCAGCAAGATTACAATTTAACAGCTTCTAAATGACTGTAGGCGAGAGTACACAAGGAAACGTCTAAGTTAACAGATAAAAAAGAACCAGACCACTTGAGTTAAATAAAACTACAAGATGATCATACAATCTGTGTGAGCAGAAACATGAGAAATAAATGTTAATATGGGCAACTACAACACACTGAAAGATTTTAGAAAATCTAAGCTTCTCATATAAATCTTAACTCCATGTGCATATGATTATAGCAAATGTATATGTAGCACCTACTCTGTGCAAGGCACTAAGTGCTTTACACTTACTAATGGCCCCCAGGCTCTCTATTGAAGTGGGTAATATTATAGTCCCTATTTTGCTGATGAGAAAACTAAGGCACAGAGAGTTTAAGTATTTTGTTAATTAGTGGTAGAACTAAGATTTGAACCCAAGCAGGCTTGCCCTTGAACTAGGCTGTATCATCCATGTACTTAATTACTATGCTTAGTCACCTCTCTAAGCCACTGGCCATAAACCACAGATGGATAAGCAAATATTTCCTGAGAAATAACTATGTACTTGGCCCAACTCTAGTAAACAGAACAGACAAAAACTCCTACTTTAATAAAGCTTACACACTAGTGGGAAGGAAAAGATAAAATTAACAAGTAAAACATATAGATTTTGATCATTATTATGGAGAAAAGTAAAGGAGGGAAGGATAATGCTAAAGGAAAAACAAGGGGGGAATAGAGATGATTGCTGTTTTAAATATTAAGGTGACTTTTGACTAAAGACTAGGTAGTTGTCAGGAAGGGGAAACATAGAAATTAGGTCAGAGACTTTGGCAGGGGCCAGATCATGAAGGTCCTTGGAAGCCATTGTGAAGACTCGTTGGCTTTTACTTTCAGCGAATAGGAAGCCATGTAGGGCTTAGAAGAGGCAACTGTCAGGATCTGATGTACACTTCAGAAGAAGCACTGGCTCCAGGTTGAGAATGGATTGCAGGGCTGGGGACACAGGAGGCAGACCAGTTCCAAGGCTGTTGCCAATAGAGATGATGGTGACCAGGCTGCTGAAAGTGGTGCGAAGTGGTCAGATTGTGGCTAGATTTTCAAAGTAGAGACCAGATTTTTTGACGTGGGGTGTGTGAAAGAGGGATGATGAGTCAAGAATGACTAAGATTTCTGTCCTGAGCAACTGGAAGAATGAGTTAATGTTGACAGAGATGGAGTTACTGACGGCTGTAAGAGGAAAGATCAGGAGTTCAATGTTCAGCCTGTCAATATTTCAAGATGTTTATTACTTTATGTCAGAGGAGATGGCCAGGAGGCAGCAAAGAGGCAGTTCTCTCCTCCCCACATATGCTAGCCAACTTCCTTACAGACTCCATCCCTTCCAACACACCTACTCATCTATCACTACAAGCAATCCTGGTCTGAATATAGCAAAGAAAGCCTAGATGTTTGAGAGTCAAGTGTCCAGGAATTCCCAATTGTCAGGAGTTCTGGGCCCGGGGCTCTTGGGGCTAACTACAGTCTTCGTGATTATGGAGGTCTCAGGCACAGGAGGCGAGCTCTGGGCCTGGAGGCCTCTGAGGATGAGGTGGGTAGTGCTTGGGGAAAGGGAGCAGGCTAGAGCAGAATCCACTCTGAAGGGAACTGGAAAACAATGGGGACTCTGAACCTGATCTTCAGGTCCTAAGAATGCTGCCCAGCTGGATCCTACAAGTGAGAGGAGGAGGCAGGCCTATAAGAGAGGCTCTAGAATCTAGAATTCAGAATCCTGGAAGGCCCAAAAACCTGGATGGGAGAAATGTGGAGTTCTTTGCCCCATGTCATGCTGGGGAGCAAATAAAAGGTAGGCATGGAGGAAGCAGTTGTAGCCTGAGTCCTGAACAGCTGACAGCTGTGATACTGCATAAAAGATGACGATACTGCATCAGCTGTTAGGAGCCAGATGGAATTGAATTCAAATCCTTGTTCCTCCTTGTATGAATTGTGTGACCCTGAACACTACTTTGTAACTCAGTGTCCTCACCAGTAAAATGGGGATAGTAACACCAACCATTTAGGGTTCCCTGCATATTGAATTGGTTAATAGGTGTGAAAGCACTTTGTAAACCATAAAATGTTGTTTAATCCATAAAGTATTTTGTATCATTACTTTGCTCCCAGGGATGGAGGTGGCCACTTCAGTGGACAAGTGTGATTTGAGGCATGGCATACACCTAAAGGGACAGTCCAATATCCACTGCACTAGGGAAGCCCCAGACTGAGCCAGCTTCTGGTTCCCATTGCTTCAAACTGGCTTAACTCTGCTAGGTTTCTACTGGAAACAGCTACAGCTGCCACCACTACCACCCAGTGGCTACTTCAGGAAAAGACCTCTTCCAAAGTTCCCCAATCAGCAGCTAGCTTCTGCTAAAGTTACACAGGCCAGAAGAAATGATTTGTGCCTTATGCAATGCTGCTGTCCAGACTTGCTCTCTTCTGTGAAGCCCTTCCTCACTTTTGTACCTGTGATTTGGGGATTACTCTGGTTCTCCTGTTCCTATGGATATTCCTTCAGACTCCTTCCCTGGTTCCTTATTGTCCTCCTTTCCCCAAGTGGGACTCTTCCCCAAGGCTTATTCGGAGAGCCTCTCTCCACTCCCCTTTTCTAATCTCCTCCCCTCTTCTCTCTTCCCCTTTCACCACCCCCCCCCATTTCTCTCCCTCCCTCTCAACATCCACTCTCAAGATTTAACTTAGAAGTTATGAATAATTATATTGACCAATAAGACACCAGCATACAGATCTCTCTCTAAGCAAAATTAATCTCACATTCGTATCATATTTTATTTCTACTGAAATTATGAAACATACCGTATACTACCTAAAATTATACCCACTTGTGTTTTTGTTCATCTCTTCCCACACTGGACCCAGAGCTCCTTGAGGACAAACACCTGGTTTTACCTCTGTCTTTCCCACAATCTTCCAAGCATGTTCCAGGTATTTCCCTACAAAATTATACATCTTGTGGTCCAAAAATGTTCCTTCTAGTTCACAGTTAACAAAACAGATATCTTGAACATATTAGGTGTTCAATAATTGTCTGTTAAGTGAATGAATGACTCACTAATAGTTTGTTGAATTGAATGATTCCCATGTCTAGAGTCTAAACTCTGTATATATTGTTTGCTCTGGGACATATCCACTTGGCTATCTCATTGACATCTAGAATTTAGTATGTCAGGCAAAGTGTATTGCCTTCTTTCCCCTGACTGAGATAAATAAGTGTATAAATACCATTATTGTTGGTATCCTTCCATTCCCCTACTCTCCAGTCTTTTCCAGCCCTTCCCTCTTTGCCCCTCAAATTCTCTGCAATAGTTGCTCTTCCCTTGGGGCATAAAGAAAGGAAAGTCATGATTTCTAATCTCTTTTTCTGAGGTGGAGGCAGGGGGAGGAAGAAAGGAAGGTGAAGGAGGGAAAAGAATGGGGGAAGGAAAGTGGAAAGGAAGGAAAGAAATGAGGGAGGGAAGGTAAGTGAAATAGTGGGGGAAATGCAGCTTTGTAATCAAATACACCTTGAGTTGAACTCTGGCTCCATCACCTACTAGCTAGATGGCTGAGGGTAAGTCTTCCTGAACATGCATTTTCTCACATGTAGAATGGGCATATTAGCACCTGTCTTGTGAAGAGAAAATGAGGCAATGCATGGAATGCATAGGGTCTGGTAGTTATCACCCTCCTCATTGATAGGAATTATAAGATAGGTGAATTCAGAGGATGTTGCAGATAGAGCTCACCCTAATTGTCTGTTTTCTTTATAAAGTGATAAAATGAGGTCACCTATCCAATATAATAAAGAGCTAATATGCAAATGGTCATCACATCCTCATGCCCTCGTGCCCTCGTGCTGAAACTGCTCAGACACTCAACACTGGGGAGAGGAATGGGGACCAGCCAGGCACAAATGAACTCACGAGAGAGGAATGGGGACCAGCCAGGCTGCGGCCCAGGAGAGGGACAAGCCACCCACCCCGCAGTCCCGGGTGCCAGTGGCTGTGGCCTGGGTGAAGCCATCTGCCCACAGTCCCCTGTGGCTGCGGCCAGCCCGGGTCCTGGGTGCCTGCAACTGTCCAGAGGAGGGAATCCTGGGTCCTGGGTGTGGGGTGAGGCAGAGGTGGTTAGGGGCAATCAGGCAGGCAGGCAGAGGGGTTAGGAGCGATCAGGCAGGCAGGCAGGTGAACGGTTAGGAGCCAGCGGTCCTGGATTGTAAAAAGCAGTCAGACATCCCCCAAGGGGTCC